TATAATCCAGTATAAGTGTGTGTGTGTGTCAACATCCATCACCTTGAGTTGGCTGGTTTAATCACCGTAATTATTTGTACAGCAACTGGAAACTATCCAACAGTGTACATGGGCTACCTTATTTTAGGACTATTGCCCGAGAAGGGAGATAAAAACACCCTGAAATAGGGCACATTTCCACTTTTCTTGTAGAGCTTTAAAGTTAAAAGATTTAAAAATACAAGTACTTAATCAGTTTAATGTGCCAGTTATTACCTACTCCAAAGCAATTAGCATCTGATGAAGTCATTAGGGATTTAATAAGAATACGGGAAACATTATTTAACATTGTTCTTTGTACAATCTTTACTTCCATGACGGGTAATCTCAACTAGTTATTTTATGTAACAGTTAAATTATGAGACAACAAACACTTCGTAAGGTTTGTTATGTGAAGATGTTTTAGTTTCTAATGCTTAAGTTCGAGGAGTCTAATATCAAACTGATCATTTGTGATATATAATTAAAGCATATATCGTTTTGGAATATATTGAACATAAATGTACGAGTCTTATACCGGACAAAATATTTCGTGTATCAGCATTATCAAACAGAAGTTCACAAATTACATACAATCTCGTGCTTCTAATATTTCAAACGCTATATCGTGCTTTGCTTAGTTCAGCAATGCAGAAGAACATGATGTAAATGTAGAAGAAATGCAACATAATCACGAAGATTTATACGCTCGCATTTCTTTTGGAAAGATAACAACGAGTGATTTACTTTTCTTGCAGCTGCACAAAACCTCTGCTGCTCTTAATACGATAAGAGTTCATATAGGAATCAGGCAGTGATTACTCTATTGAAATGTAAAACGAACCTTGCAGACAGTGGTGCTAAGTTACCCACTTTCACTTGTTCATATCAGTAAATCACAGAATTCTGATCGGTTAGAGCAAATGTGGAAGTTCTGAGTCTAAATGTATTGGACATCAGTAATATAAGTCAACATCCGGTTTTTGCAAAAAGATATAAAACCGTAACTTATGAAATATAGGACGCTTTCTTACTGGAATAGTTTTGACCAATCAGATGAAGCTCAGATAAGCAAAAATGATGCACAAGAAGTGGCGACTTTATCGGTTTTATACACACTACAAGTTTCGACGAGATTGTTGGAGATTTAACTCCTCTTAGAAGTTTTTCATCCCAAAGAAAGCAAGCGAAAAAACATATGTGATATTTATCAATGCACGAAATAATATTTAAATAGTACTAAAAAAAACTTTGTTGGAATGAGTAGCACGAACTGTGAAGTGTTTTTGATTTATATATCAGTACAGAGAGTGGATCAGTGACTCCGCGTGTCAAGCACTTCTAACACAATGTAAGTTCAGTTCAGCAGTGAGATGGTACAAGAAATTATAACATGATATACGTGTTGGTTAGAGGTAACACTAAAAGATACGAAACAGAGACATCACCTTGTTATAAACTTAATTAAACAGTTTTTTTATATAAAAATCCAGTCATAATATTATTTCTTTAACACTTAGCCGATAGACTCTAAGACAACAAAAATATTGGTTTGACTTTTGCAAGATGAGCAAGAACGAAATATATATAGAGGAGATAAGCAATAAAGGTGTTGTTATAAAATATCATAGGCGGGATATCCTGGTTGGAGCTAGTTAGTCTTAACAAAATTAAAACACGTGATAACGGGTTTCTGATGAGGTTATAAAGGACATATCTTTGTTTAATGTTGCCATGTTATAGAAACTCATTACAAAATATCATGAATATCCATAACAAAGATGTAGACTTCATCACTCAGCATTTATACCTCAATAAGAGATTGGATTAAGCCATTAGTAGAGTCGGCCAAAAAATAGCGACAAACGTATCAACTTTCACACTTGTTAATACATCTTAAGAGATTGGATTAAGCCATTAGTAGAGTCGGCAAAAAATAGCGACAAACGTATCAACTTTCACACTTGTTAATACATCTTAAGAGATTGGATTAAGCCATTAGTAGAGTCGGCAAAAAATAGCGACAAACGTATCAACTTTCACACTTGTTAATACATCTTAAGAGATTGGATTAAGCCATTAGTAGAGTCGGCAAAAAATAGCGACAAACGTA